CTAGGGAGTGGAAACACAAATCATTTATGTCACATGTTAGTCCAGCACCACTTTTTGTGTGTCCTCGTGTAACGGAAAGGGCCAAAGGTACAGCCTCGAGGTCCAAATATGACTTCATCTGGATCCTGAACCAAACTGTGATCCACCCTTTGGTGACCAGCATTACACAACATCAAAAGCAAAATAATCACACAATCTTAACTTCAGTCTTTATAATAGATATTCACAAAACAGCTTTATAAATGTGTTGATATTGTGCCCACAGATTTATGTTTTATTCAGGGTTGTGGAGCAATTTGTCAAATACAAATTGTTTTTTTTTCTACAGCTTTAGATGCTCATATGTGGTCCAGATGTTCTGGCGTTAGTTCGTGTAACAGAGGTAATGGTATCTAGTGGATAATTATGTAGCAGCTTTATATTCAAAAAGTGTCAGAAATGTTGCAACAGCTGTCTTATCCTATTCTTTGGTGAGTCCTCCAGCAAATATTTTACAAGAAACGAGTAAACAAAGTGGGCAGTTTGAACAGAAAACAATGCTATAGATGATCACAACAGCAGAAAGTGCCCATTTTCAGAAGTGCTTAAAAAAGTGCTGAAAAGTATTTTACATAAATGTAACTTGAAATATGGCTGGACGAGTTGAATCAGTTTCCCATTAAAGTATGTATATCACACAATTCAGCGGTTTTCGCAATCCACAACTGTGAGGATTACGTCAGAAACGTCAGATATCTTCACTTGGTCTTGTGCGTCAGAGGGAGGATAGAGAGAAATTTCTCATCATCTGAATGTCAGTGAAGTTTCACATCTGTTTTCACAGTGGTTTCTGCAAACACAACAGGTACATTGCCATCGGTTTTGCATCAAACAATTATTCCAACAAAACCATGAAATTCCTACTGAAAATATGTGAAGGTTACTGATATCTATATCTATGTATGTATGTATTTATATGGAAATTGCAGGAATCACTGTGAAGTCTTTGATAACAGAGTTCTTTTGAGAAGGCCTTCATCCACTCCTGGATTAACTGTCAGCTCCAGGGCTTAATTTGTAAACCAATCGATGCAGGAACGCATCTATCAGGGGTGATTGTAGGGCTTGGGGGCTGAGGGGTCTGGAGGTCCTCCCCCAGAAAATTTTGAACAAAGTAGATGCAATTTCCTGCATTTTGGTGTAAAGAAGTCCCTCGCTACTTCGCGGTTCATTTTTCGCTGAGTTGCTCTATCGCGGTTTTTCAAAATAAGATTGGACATGAAACACAATTGGCTGATTGATGGATAAGCTCCACGATTGGCATGGAAGTTTTATTTAAAATAAATTATTTTACAAAGTAAATTATTTAGCACCAGTGTGCAGCCCAAGCTGCAGGAGAAGCTTCTTCATGCAGCGTGTCAGGATTAGAGCTATCATTTCTGACCCGGAGTCCGACCCGCCCCGGATTAGAGCTGGGTTGAGCCATAATAATGTGCTTAATGTGCGGGTTGGGCCGGTGTTGGGCTTTTTATTGCATCAGCGGATGCGCACGAGGCTGATGATCCAATTATTTGGCAACATGGCATGCTATACAATCACCTGCCGCACATGGCCATTTGACCGTGCGTTGACCGGCCTTGAAAGAAGTAAAAGAAAGTTTAGTTAAAGTAAAGAAAGACATTCAAACAAATGAAACATCTTTGTTCTTTCCTTGAGAAGGCGGCGGTGTAATTTAAAAAAGATTCAGCTGTACTCAGTGGACACGCACAGCCGACAACCCAAACAGGTGAGATCCCAAAATATCCAACAAGTCAGAGCAGGGTCCATGTCTGAATAATGCAGAATGCAGAAGTAGGGATTTAATGCACTTTGACAGCCATGAAAGGACAAACACCCCCTCAGCTTCAATCTTCTGCCCCTTCAGCCGCACACATCCGCCAACCGTTAATAACTATATAAGCTGTCAAAGCTTAATTAAAAATGTCTGGGGGTGGGGGGTGTTTTGGACCTGTAATTACTGTTAATTTGTCGGGTGGGGTGGGGTTCGGAAGTGATGGCTACAGGCTGGGGCTGGGTCGGGCCAGATTTTTGGGACTGAATGCAACTCTAGTCAGGATCTCTGCTCTACAGACGAGATGTGGGCGTTACATTGTTTATAATATTGCAAGAGTGTGGGAAGGGTTTAAAACACCTTAATATAGTGTATATGGATATATGTACATATATATATACTAAAATAAACTACTACTTACTACTTGAACTACTATTCCTACTTGACGGTTTTTCACTTCAGGGTAAAGATCCCCCATAATACACAAGAGACTACTGTATTTTAATGGGTTGTTAAACATCTACGTTTACCTACATTTGTAAAGACTACGCTTCTGTCACACATCCTACCCCCCTCCTCATTTCTTAATGGTTCCAAGCTCGACACTGTCCCCGCTCGTTGTTGTCCAACTCCACATGTGAAACCTCCAGGCGCCTGCCTGCGGCTGCCTCTGAGCTCCTGCCCGCATACTCACCCCCACCACTCTTTTAGGGGTGGACATTTTTTTTAAGGGTAGACACGGAAATGCTACTTGAAGAGGCAGGTGGTATGCTCATGAGTGACTGTTGTGTTTAAAACGAGTGTTTCTGTAATTATTTTAGTTTACATATCCAATATAAGCTTTATTCGTTCTAGGCTGTCATATTTGTTCATAACTTTATTATTAGTATGCCTGATAGTTGACGAATCCAAGCAAACAGTTACCGGAATGCACCCTGTCAAAAATAAATAGTTCCCAGATCCTGTTCTAGCATGAGCTAGCTCAAATTAAGCACGGATTGACTCGCTCTGGTTCTGTCAGATTCAATTGTTTTTCCGACAAATTGAGGTCAAGAGCTATCTACCACAGGTAAGATATTTACTGCTTAAAGCCTTTCCACAGAAACATTAACAGTATTTAAATGGTCGCCTCTATTGCTTTAATGCTCACTCACAGTTAAGACACACTCATAGAGGCAGAGAAGAAGAAATTACAGTATACAAAGACGTAATTTGGATGTTGCTATTAACTCAGTTTATTATTTTTATCTGTCACGTTGTTTTGTTCTGCTGAAAACTGCAACTGCATTGTGCTATGGATCTCTCTCAAGTGTAAGCCCAATAAAAAGCCTCATAGTTTATTGATGATAAACATAAACGTTTCATTTTAAGAGGTCAAGTCATTGGGAAGATGTACAACTAAAACAGGATAACCATTATAGAAACAGAAACACATTGTCACCATGTCTTGTCATTTATCTTTATATGTTTTGTTATGGAATCTATGATTCAATGGGTCTTGTCAAAAATGCAATACTCGAGTGTTTGTGAGTTTTTCAGCTTATGGACAACACATATTAAAGCTCAACTGAACTTCTCTGTAATTAAATTTAAACAATTAAACATATTTCAATAACTCAGCAATACTTTAATCCACTTTCTGAGTCTACCTTTAGGTTTCGCAAGTATTTTTCTATTTCCTCCTCCAGTATTTCTACAAGTTTGGTCTTTGTGTCTGTAGACTAGAGGTCTCAGTGAGAGCAGAAGTTCCTGTCACCCAGACAAACAAATCTTTCTGACAGCCTCTAATGCTCAATAATCTGTCTCCTACAAGGCTGAGACTCACATTTCTCAGCCAAAACAACATACATGTGCTGCGCTTGAAAGATGCATGTCACAATTTTTCAAACTCATGGAGATAAAAAGGAGATGTATGAAGTGAAAAGAGCAAAAAGAGCAAATGCTGAACCACCAACGATGGAGGAGAACGGTAAGAGACATGTTCAGTTAAAATCTGCGGGTATATGCATTAGTTTATGAAACAAAAGTTTAAAGTTTGTGACAGAATTAAATGTTTTAACAAGTTTTAAATATATTGAATATAAATAAAGATAAGGAGATGCCACCTTTCAGCAGGAATTAAAATGTACAAACACTATCTTACCTGTTGTAGATAACTATTAAACAATCTCACTGGAGAAATTGAGTTTGCTTCTCGTGTTAAAATGTGCAATTTACAAAACTGTCTTGAAATTCTTAACTACATTAAACCCTCGATACTTCGCAGTTCATTTATCGCGGACTCGCTCTATTGCGGTTTTTCCAAATAAGATTGGACATGACACACTGATTTAATTGTGATTTTTGATTTAAATGAATTTTTATTTAAAATAAATTATTTAAAATTATTTAGCGCCAGCTGCAGTAAAACCTCCCTCCTGCAATTTTTTGCAGCCCAAACCGCAGGATAAGCTTCCTGCTGCAGCTGATCAGCTGTTCTCCATGCAGAACCGGGGAAGTGGGCGTGGCTAAGAGCGCTTCCAGGTGGCTGAGTGCAGCCGAGGCAGAGAGAGGGAAATCATGACATTCTGTGCTCATGTAGAGTGTTGAGTCTAGAAACATTGTTTAGAATATTGCAAGAGTGTGTGAAGGGTTTAAAACACATTTATATATACTAAAATAAACTACTATTTTTACTACTTGTACTACAATTCCTACTTCGGTTTTTCACTCATCACTGGGCTTCAGGGTACGAATCCCCCGTGATAAACGAGAGACTACTGTACACAAGATCGCCTGTAAAAGACAGTTATGCATATAAGGCCATGTTTTATGCAAATAAGAGTGTCAACTCGTTGCGATTGTGGCTGAGTGGTTAGAGCAGTCGTCCTCCAATGCAAGAGTTG